GTTAGTTAAATTGTATGCAGAACTCACTCATCTACTCAGTGTAAATCTATGAGTCCTACTTGCTCCTTCCACATAGCTGCACTTCCTAAACACTTCACCACTGTGTCTCTGTCTTTTTCTCTTTATACGCTGGCTCTAGGTTGCATTCTCACAATCTTTCATGAAATTCTTCTAGTTGCCTCCAGTTCTCTTTCAAATTCTCCTTTAGCCTTTCTCTGTTTCATGTTCTATAGAGAACCCTTTCTCATCTTATCTATGGGAAATACATTCTAAGATTGCCCCCATGAATGCTCCAAACTGTATGTACACTGTGTTATTTCTTATGCATGCCTACCTATGATAAAGTGTAAGTTATATGGGAGATAGAGGCAGGAGGATTTCTGGGTTCAAGGCCAGCCTAGTCTACAGAGCAAATTCTAGAAAGCCAGGGCTACACAGAGAAACTCTGTCTTGAAAAAACTATATAACAACCTCTGCATACAATGTTTTTAATTTATTTATTAAGATGAGAATCTTCAGGGATTGAGAGATGGTTTAATGGTTTTAAGCACTTTCTGATCTTGCAGTGGAACCAGGTTTGATTCCTAGTGGCTCCCAACCACCTGTGATTCCAGTTTCAGGGGATCTAACACATCCTTCTAGCTTCCACAGGTACCCGCACGTATGTGGCACACATAAGCACACTAAGAACCACATATATACATACACATAAAATTAAAAGAAATGTTATTTTAAAAGATGAGAAACCTTACCATTTCATTAAAGGAAGTACTTTACAGTTTCTCTTTGCTTTATCGAAATTGGTAGCATCACCTCTCTTGCTCTTTAGAGCTTTCATTGATACTTGAACTCAAGTACTGTGATATCTTGACAGTCATTCACAAACTGAGATAGCTACAAAGAAACTTATGAGTAGTATTAGTACAAGCAATGGGGACACACTGTATAAATATTCATGTCCTAAGAAGGATGCAATAAGGCTGTACAATATTTACTCATGCCACTCAGAGTAATTCAGTGTTTTAAATGTATTAATTATCTATTTTTTTAAATTTTCTGTTTAATATTTTCAGAGCATAGATGACCACAAGTAACTAAAACTGTGGTATATTCAGCTGTAGATAAGGGGAGACTACTGTGTTGGTTTCACTGATTTTTTTCACTTATTTGTTTGTTTGTTTGGAGGAGGGATCTCATGTCACACAGAGTGGCCTCCAACTGGCTGTGCTACAGAGGATGACCATGAAAATCCAATCCTCCTGCCTTTTACTGGAATTAATGACATGGGACATGTGCTAACATATTGTTATAGTTTAGTGCTGGGAATCAAATCTAGGACCTAATGCAAGCACTTTATCAGTACTGCCATATCCCTATTGGGGATATCTTTTTCCTTTTCTTCCTTTATTTATGTACATATATTCCTAAATATAACATTCTCTGACTGTAGAGTGTTACTTGCATGATTTCAGGGCTGACCAGTTGGTATTGGACAACTAATTGGTGTGCTCCTCCCTGGGGGAAGACTATAGCACCCACTCTCAGCATTCCTCAGTGTAGTTCTTTGTGGAAGGGTCTCTTGGTCTCTCCCCCACCCACTTTGGCACGTCTACTGGTCTCATCCTTGTTCAGTTCATGTTTGGGCAGTCATGTTGGTGATATTTTTACGGATGTAGCTTCTGGCATTACTATGAGATGCAATCTCACTGCAAACCCCTGATCCTCTACCTCTTACTGTCTTTCTGCTCCCTCTTCCACGATGCTTCCTGAGCCTTAGGTGTAGGGGTTGTTTTGTAGATGTAACCATTGGGACTGTACTCCACAACTCTGCATTTTGATTCAGTATAGTTTTTTTGTAATGGTTCCATCCACTCTGAAAAGAAGTTTCCTTGGTAAAGAATAAGGACTGCATTCATCTATGGGCATAAGGATAAATATTTAGATTGTAGTTAGGGATTATACCAGTTTAGTAGAGTGGTGGTTGTAGGTTCCTCTCCAGGATCCATGACTTCACTAGCACTGAGGTGTGGACTAGGTTTCCAGGACCAGGCAAGATTTCCCTCTTGCTGAGTGAGTCTTGAGTCCACGTAGAGTACTGCTAGTTACCACAAAGTTCTGTATGCCACTGCTACCCCCTTAGGGCTATCGTGCCATTCTGGTCTTTGCTGTGGTTCGTATACATCACAACTTGGTAGGACTGTAGATTGCTCCCCTCTCTTGTAAGCTCATTCTCAGGGAGGAGATTTCAGGTCAGTTCCATCAGTGGGGCCACTGTGCTGTGTGTTTGACGTGCTCAGTATCTTTAGCAGTAGGGACTTAGCTTCTACCTCTCTTGGGGCTGGGGTGGAAATCAAGGGCAATAGCAACAGCTTGTAATGTTTGGGTATTCTCTTACACAGCCCTGGCCAATAACTCAAAAGATGGTTTTTCAGGACTAGTGCTGGGGGTTTTGTTAGGTTGTCTTCAGCCCTTGAAGGGAGCATTGTTAGCACACATAAGAAATTTTATTTAAACAATGTATGTATATTCATACACAGATTTACATGTATTAATTTTTTAGGTAGATAAGTAATAGTACAATTCCTTGGAACTTACTCACATATCTCCATTGTTATTTTAACCCCTCACTCCCTTCTTTGATATTTATCTTCCTCTGTTTCCTAATTAGAGCCCCACCTTTTTTTTCCCATTTCCTCTATCAGATCATTTCTACCCTGCCTAAACACACACGTACCCATGTCACTGTCCTGCCTAATTCTTTCAAATGCTCCTAATCACTTACAAATATTGTCCAAACATTTCAAGAGTCTGATGCCCAAATTCTGGTTTCCACTGTACTATATTTCTATACAATGGCAGTGCCTTAAACTCTAGAAAGTTTTTCCTTAGCCCTTATGTTATAGAAAGGCAAACTTATTTGGAGATCGTTATACATACCATATGATGCTTTGCCTGATATCTCTGTACATGCATATTTTTCTTCTTTGAATGTCGTCTAATATTTCTTCTCTAACTCATGTTTATGCTTTAGAACTCTGTGTACTTAAACTCTTCTAGAAATCTTTCCCAGGTTATATTTAACTGATTTATATGTTTAGCCATTCATGATGTACTGCAACTTCATAAATAGAAGCACCAATTTACACTTAACTTTTCCTTTCTAGTCTATAGTGTAACTACTTAGACATAGAAGTTTGGTATAAGGAGGCATTAATTTTTTATAATTAGCAAAGCCAGTATCATGGCTCACTCCAAGTAGGCATACAAATAAAAGAGATATTTTGCTTGACTTGTGAAAGTTGGATGATAAGAAATACAACACAGCAAGAAGTATATATGCATACATATACAGATATACAAACATATATATATATATATATATATATATATGAGCAGATGAACAAACACACATACTCAGAAATAAAATAAAATATTACAGGTAGAACTGGACTTCTGTGTAAGTAAAGTAAATAATCATCTACCCAGTGTGATTTCAAGGACACAAGAAGAGTCCACAAAATATAGAAATTGCTTTTCCATTTGCAGGCTGAATCCAAATATTCCATTATTTTTATTCAGACACCTTGCTTCTGTCTTCTGGATTGTAAATAACCTTGACAGATCGATTATTGTATAAAATATCAAACTCAGGGTTCTTTTGAATGGTGAGCACCACTAAGATTTTACCAACAAATATGTTATCATACAGTTTTGAAGTACTTTTGTATCAGAGTTCTGTGTCTGAAATTTAAAGGAAAAGACCTCTGTTTTTTTCCAGTGATATAAGAAGGCTTAAACTCACTTAACAACATTGCTAAAAATAAGATAGAGTTGAAAATGGTACATGATTAAGCCTAGGTCAGAGGAATAGTTATTATTATTAATAAGATACATTATTATTTATGTGATACTTAATATCTTTTATTACCATGGCCACCCATGATATAATAAAATCTGGGTCAGTAATCTTATTTTATATTTTTGAATATTAATTTATTCTACCATTGCATTGTGGCAGTGTGCCTCACTAGATTATGTATGACTTTAGAGCTTTCCCTCCACTTCTAGAATATTTCCTTGTTTTCTTTTCTGTCCTTTCATTGTTTGATTTTGATGTGTTTGTTTGATTGGGGATGTCCCAGAGCTGGGATGCAACGAAGTCATCTGTAGTTCATCTTTGGGCATGTTTTCTTTCTGTGATAGGCAGTGGCAGTGTTCTTTCTTATTTTGGTCCAATAAGCTCTTGAAAACAAAACTTATTCATTTCTTCTACTCTTAATCCCCTATAACAGAGACTATAGATTAGAGATTAAAATTGGCAACCAGCCTGACTAGTGAGCTAAATGGTCTGAAGATACCTCTTCTAGGTCTATTCATTTCTAGAAAGGTGTTCACAATCCCTGTATTCATAATCATTCCAAATAGTTCTATTCTTCTCAAAAAAGTCACAATGTAAAATGTAATTGGTGGTTTTCAAAAAATATTTATAATTTTCAACAGCTTAATTTGACTACACTACTCACCATCAAACATTTTGATGGGATTGTTATTCGTTGATTTGTTGTATATTTCAATAAGGTATGAATGTCCCTACTTAACAGTGAGTGTTTTCCATTGTGTACTAGAAGTGATTATTTTCAGAATATTTAAATTTTCATTAGCCAGGGTAGGATTTTGTAGTATATCCCTCGTGGTTTTTGATCTCTATATCTGGTAGTCAGGTATATAAACAAAGTGTACTTATCTTAATAATAGCACATCACCTAACTTGAAAGCTTCCCAGTTCTCCCCAGAAAAGTTTTGCAAACGAAGTGCTTTCCTCATTAACAGTGAGACCCAGGTAGCCCTTTTTTTTTTTATCATTTTATGACTATCAGTTTATAAATAAAAGAGAAGGAAATTGACTGGGGAGTTACATAAATAAGTTCTGAGCACCCAGGATTAATTTTGAGGAGCATTCCACAAGCCAAATAAACATTTCTTTTCATCTCATTTCACAGACCTTCAAGAGGGAATTGAAAACTAAAGAAGCTGTAATCATGAGTACCCTGGAGACGGTGAGAATATTTCTGACAGAGCAGCCTTTGGAAGGACTGGAGAAGCTCTACCAGGAGCCCAGAGGTAATTGAATGTGGAACTGTAATAACATATTGATAGAAGGGTCGGTGATGACAGAGCAGGCCGTCCATGCTTGCTGTCAGAGACTGTACAGCTCTCATACCTCCAAGTTAAACAGAATCAATTCAAATTAAATGTAGGTTTCGAGAAAGAATGGGGAATCATAAAGCACAGTGCATAAAACCTGTTTTCACAGTCATAAATAAAGCAATCAGCGACCATTTATTTGAATATTTAGAAGACAGTAAACAAAGGAGCTTATCTGTGGAAAGGAATCCTATTGTTACAAAGACTACAAGCTAATTTCCAGTTTAAGAGCCTGACTGAAATAAATTAGAGCTCTTCAGTATGTGCTAACATTTTTCTCTCTGAAAGCTTAAATGAATCTTGATTTATCTGATTGACAGAAAAGTAGAACAGATTCACTAAGGAAGACAGACAGTGTAGCTGTGCTAGACTGTCTCAAAATTTATGCCAAAGTGTAGAAGAGCCATTAATCTGGAAGTTAGCCTCTTGTTAATCTATATTCCTTTCCTTTCTTCTAGTCTGACCTTTTCAACAGTGTTTTTTTTTTTTTTTTTTTTAACAAAAATGGATGTGGCCTAAAACCTTGTCATATCTCCAATTTAGAGCTGCCTCCTGAAGAAAGAGCCCAGAATGTCACTCGGCTCCTACGAAAACAGGCTGAAGAGGTCAACACTGAATGGGACAAACTGAACCTGCACTCAGCTGATTGGCAGAGAAAAATAGATGAGGCGCTTGAAAGATTGCAGGAACTTCAGGAAGCTGCGGATGATCTGGACCTCAAGTTGCATCAAGCTGAGGTGATCAAGGGATCCTGGCAGCCAGTGGGGGATCTCCTCATTGACTCTCTCCAAGATCACCTTGAAAAAGTCAAGGTACTGTGTTTTACTTTGAGAAACCCCCCAACAAGTGCTCATTTAAATTTACACGGTCTTTTCATCCCACAAAGTTAAGTTATAGGACCTATAAGCCTTAGAAAACAGCCCATTTTATTTCCCTCGTTTGGAAGTCTTTCACACAAGATTTCCTGCAAAAAAAGTCAGTGGTGTAATCATTTGTCTATCTTCAGTAATATAAAATGAAATATTAAGGAGTCTCATTAGTGTGGTAGGTAGCACCCCAGGCTCATAAGATTAAGTATTAAAAAGTTACAAGGTCAAAAGTAATTTCGATTTTTGCCATTAGGAAATTAATTTGTCATGAAGTAGATGGGTTTGTGGGGGGGCGGTGCTTGAGTATTTTTTTAGGAATTTTTTGGGGTATGTGTGTGTGTGTGTTATATTATTTTGTATCAGAACAGAGAAAAAATAACATTTGCCAAGACCAGAAGACCCAGCTTGGGACTTTTTCCTTAGTAATCTGACAGCTAATCTGAAACAAACTCATTTGTTCTCCAGTCCTTTTGCTTTCTAATTATAAAATAGTAGTAAATTTAAGTTCCGCCTTCCAGCATTCTCCATTTTTATTTCTACATACCATTGCTTTTTTTTTCTCACAAAATGTTTTTTTTCTACTATTACCCTTTTTTTTTTTCAACCAGTGTCTTTTTTAAATCCCTATTTTTTTAACTTATATAGATGACATACATCCATGGGCCAGCCAGTGTGTGTGTGGCATATTATGAACAATGCCTTTTAAATATTGAGTGAGCAAATGGATAATTCCCTTACTGATACTTCTGCATCATACAGACTCATTGCATTTCAACTTAAAATTCTTTAAGGATATAATGAAGTCCATTTATTAAATGGGTTAGCTGTCTCTCTTCTGCCTAAGCCTGGCTTTCCTACTCAATTTTAACAACTCACATGCAGATAATCCAGTATACTAATTCCATGCTATCCAAACTGGTCCTATTTTCTTATAACTGCCTGCTATGTGTTTTTCCATCTGTCTGAATCATCAAACTTTGTATGTCTGATCAACTCTTACTGAACCTTTAAGGCCCATTGTACATATCACCTATTTTTGTAGTCTTCCATAAATATCTACCACTCCTCCCAACTCCCACTAAAGGAGTTCACTGTATTGACACCATATCTGAAACTTGAAAGCTTTGGTAGTGGTAGTTTAGCCTACCAAATTAAACTTACTAACTAAAATTGATTTTTTTAAGGAGAAGCATCTTTAAAACCACTATTTCATGTTGTTTTTAACTTAGCAACAATTCCCAAATAATAGCCAGGTCAAAACACCCTTTTCCCTTCTCCATTTTTCCTTTCTCCATTTTAAAACTTCTTTAGGTTTTTAAAAGTTGTCATTTGTAGTTGCCGGGCGTTGGTGGTGCACGCCTTTAATCCCAGCGCTCAGGAGGCAGAGCCAGGCAGATCTCTGTGAGTTTGAGGCCAGCCTGAGCTACAGTGAGATCCCAGGAAAGGTACAAAGCTACACAGAGAAGCCCTGTCTCAAAAAAAAAGTTGTCATTTGTGCAACTACAAAGTACATGCTTTTGTTGGATATGATTATATCACTTTATTAGCTAATGTGGCCTTTGGATTTGGGAAATGGATAGAATGGAACCACTAAGTCCCTGGACCTTATGGAAATGATAGCTGTTCTTCTTCATGGTGATAAATATTATAAATCAAGACAAAATAATGTCATGTTCATATTGGCTATTTGACTCACAAAGAAATCCTAGAGTCACAAATAAAGCTCCATAGTAATAACTACCAGAATAAAAGTTACATTTCAAATGTCTTTCTACTTCCAAAATCTATAATTATTTTGCTTACCAAGCATTTTAACGATACAGTTAGGATTACTCACCTTACAGGAATAACATCAATCCTTATTTTACTACATGGGTATTTTACTTTCTTGTAATGGGAAACACAAATAACTGAAGCACTGAGTGATATACATAGATATGCAAAAAGCATATGCAAAGCCTTTCAGAAATCAGTATAGCTGGAGGGAGAGCTTAAGCTAATGTTTCCCATGTGCTGAGCTGCACCCTCAGCCTTTTCAGTAAGAGAAAGTAAGAAAGGGAGGAAAGAAGAGAAAGAGGAAGATAAATACATAGAGAGATTGATAGCTTGGTTGGTTGAATGATTTAGAGACAGAGCCTCACGAAATTTATCTAGGATGCCCTTGAACTCTGGAGCTTAAGTGATTCTCCTGCTTCTGTTTGAAGTAGGTAGGACAAGTAGAGTACGTTTTGAAGTCAAACTCTGTAACCAATCTGAAAGTGAAAATATTAGGGGGTCATTGGTGTTTTCTTGTTCTAATCAACCATTGTTTCTCCACAGAGAAGAAGGTACATCATTCTTGAACTGTGCCTTTGTTTGATTTCAATCTTTTCCTTTTCTTTTCTTTCATGCTAGAGATTGAACCTGGGCTCTAATACATGACACTGATACACACTCAGATATAACTTTAAACATACTATTGCATCTACCCCTAATTAAGCTCCCAGGCTTTCATCTTGAAATTTGTAAATTTGTCATATCGATTTGTTTATACAATGCTTTTGATTATACGGACTTCTAAACTGTTACTGGGAAAGTCAAAGGAAGAGATTCTCAGAGTTATTCTATAAAGCACTTTTAATGTGATAGTTTGATTATACTTTCTTGGCATTTTAACTGAGTCTGATTTCATGGTATGTGAACTGGACTAGGAAGTGTATTGAAGCCATTATACCATTGGTATTTGTGTTCAACATTCCTATCAAAATTTTAAAGAGGAAATTAGAAATTGAATCTTCTTAGCCCTTCTAGACTGAATGCTTGTGGTTTCCTTTCTTTAAGCAATTTGTCAAAGAAATTATATCCCAGAATTTTATATTGAGAAAAAAAAGTGTATTTCTACTGAATAGATAATGTTAGCTGTGGTGGAATATATTAGTATTTCCTTTTCACTTTGGTAAGCAGAAAGCTTGCAACCATCTTCATGTAACCCTATATTCCTTGACTGTTATTTGCTTCTTAACCATGGTCTTAATTTTTTGTTTATGTTATATTTGTCATCAACTTGACAGAATGTTTTAAATCTTTTCTTATAGGGGAGCTTTAAAAAATTGTAATGCTTTTTTGCAGAGTTAGAGGATGCATGGGTAGAGTGAATTCTTGCAAACAAGACCATTTTAAGAATGATTGAAAATATGTAAGTTCTCTAAGTGTCAAATACTATCAATTTAAATGTGTGTGTGTGTGTGTGTGTGTGTGTGTGTGTGTGTGTGTGTGTGTGTGTGTGTTGACTCATGCTTGCTTATATTGACGCCAGAGGTTGATTTTAGGTTATTATCTCAACCACTTCTCTACATTGATTTTGTGGGTGCTTTGTTTTCTATAGTCATTTCTTCTCTTGTTTTGAGACAGAATATTTCACTGAATCTGAAGCTCATCAATAGCCAGCTCTTACCAAAAATCTACCTGACTCCATCCCACAGGGTTACAGGCATGCATTGTTATACCCAGCTTTTATGTGGATGCTAAGCACCCAAATGTGCACCAGAAACATTATGTACAGTTATCTTAATGAAGGAAAGTTTTACTGCCTAGGATATGATGGGAAATTTTACTGATAGGCTGCTCAGTTCTATGTACTGAAAGCAAATGAATTGCTTTATAGAGGCTTTTGTTGTTCTTGTTATGGTAAAAATCCTGTGTCTTAAGCATTTGATCAAGAAGAAAAATAAATGAAAGATAGAATCCTTCATAAAACTAGATTAGATGTGGAACTAATGCTTCTTACATAGAATACACAGGCTTTATCTAGTTCTGAATGCACATGGTTGTATTGTTTAAAAGCACATAATATGCCTGTTATTATCTAAAAGATATATAGTAATACAGGCTTTAAAATAAAATAAAAAATACTTTAAAAGTGTAGTAATGGAAAGGTTGTTGTTGGCTTTATTTGAGCTTAGAAAGAAAAGTACAAATTACTCATCTTAAAAATGCCTACCAAATTATTTGTTCAATGTGAAATTAATTGTAAGTTAGTGTTGCTAGGAGAGCGTATTACTTGTTCCCATGTAGTCCCTTTCATTTCCTGCTTTGTTTATAAAAGCTAAAAGCAAATTACTTAGAACAACAATGTCAAATGCTTTTCTTTACCCAAAGCATCTGAGTTTAGATAGCACTGTGTATGTATGTTTTTAAAGTCTCTATCTCGACTTGGGCAAATAGAACCTTCGTTTACCATGCTATTCCCATCCTGCCTTTGAAACTTCTGAAAAGGCAGAGCAGAGTAATTGTTTCAGACATCTGTTTAGCATACTTTGAAGTCCATATAAGTTCTTTTTAGTTTCATTTGAACCCCAGCTGTCTTCACCAAAGTCTATAATCAATCTGAATTAAGTTGTCCTACTTCTCCTAATAAGTCTCTTATTAAGTTCTGCATCAACCTCTTAGGGAGACTTTAAAGCTAATTCATGTAGAATTGCCATTTTCTACTAATTCATTTGTCAGCTCTCCAAATTGCAGCAGAAACAATTGCAAAGACTATTAATTTGGCTCTTCATAAACAACTTATGTAAGTGTAGTATACATTAGAACTAAGCAAACAATTTAAAACAATGGGTAGGAGAAAATGATTTAATAACATTCAACACACTTTCTTCTTTGATTGTTTTGTGGTGCCTTTGACATCAAAAGTATAAAGACATTGATTTAATAAGAGAAACGTTCTTCTGCTTTTACTTTCATAAAGAAATAATTACTGAATGAGCCTTGCTTAACGAGAGGAAAGGGTTTTACAACAGTTGGAAAAGGAACATGTTCTTTTCGTATTGAATTTATTTTAATTTGGACTTCTTTGTGTTTTTTGATAGACTGTGATAAAAGAAGGAGCCAGAATTGGTTTCCATTCTTACTGCATTAAATCAAAGTTGTACAGCTACTTTTCTGGTCATGGGACATTTAAGAGA